TAAAATAGATACAAGAAATTACACGCCATAGAAACCGGTCCTGTGCGGTTCAGTTGTACTCATTGATTTCAGACATATTCCTTTGATAACTGCAACAAAATCGACCTGATATCCGCAACTATAGAAGACATAGGCACGAGTCCGAATGCTGAGGTCCTCTTTGGTTTGATTCAGTCATTGTAGGTATCGGATTGGCATCAAGGGCGGAGGGAAGTTCAAAAGCGGCGATGTGATGAGTAGGGAGATATAAATCCGACATGGTATTCCACAATGATCGACTTTGATGATATTATCATCCACTTATTTAATATTCATGTGAACAAAGTTAATATAATACAGCACAGGACTAAAGAAATCGTTTGTGAGACCTCTTCCGATGTGAAATTATAACTTATCTTATAAACTAAGGAAAAAAACATAAATATGGCAACATTGCCTATGTCACCATTGGATCGTCTAGTCACATTAGAAACCCCCATACACTAAATTTCATAAATAGCGTTGTGCGACTTTTAACTAAACCTGTACGTGCGATATTCGAAGACGTCGTCGAAAAGCTTACGACATTACTATTTTATAAGCAGTCGTTAGTAAAATCACCCCAAAACTGTTAGCAAACTTCTCCTTTTCTTCAGAAGTAATAAAAAGGAAATCCTATCAGCATATGTGAGAAAAAATGCTCAAACGTAGAGTTGGTTGCATATTCTCGTTCCGTCTACTCACTATTTTACAGGGTCCAAATAATAGGTACATATTTGAATCTGGAAAAATAAATTTTGGAGGTCATAGTATAGAAAAGCATAGCACGTGACCTGACCTCGCGGGTTGTTTATAGTTTACCACGCATGGCAACTTTTTTTTTTAATTTGTCCACAAGCAATTCTGCTCACATTGCATCTTTCAAATAGTCTAGTCGTGTGCCGCAACGAGATGTATTCGTATGACTTCACCAAAAAAGCACATGACACCTTAAAAAAAAAAACACTCAACAAGTGTCAAACCTACCACTTATCGAAGTACAAAGTCATAATTTAGATTATCATCAAAATAAAGATAGAAAATTTACCGTACCCAATTCTGCCCAATTCGAACCGAATAGGAACTAAAACCTAAAATATTGTAACCGAAACTAAATATTCAGTAGAGTACATTAATATTAGTTGGTCATATATAACATGATTGGGTCAAGAAAATATGTTATGACAAACAAATACAAAAGATAAGAAGCAGAAGAAGAAGTAAAATATTGACAACGAGTATATAAGAAAAAAGTATTATTTTATTTGTTTAAAATGTGTTTCTTTTATTAAAGAAAGAATACAGTACCAATTAGATTTAAGTTACTTTGGAGTTCCGAGCACTTCGTAATACCGTTTATTTTGCTGTAAAGTTGATATCGTCCGCCTAAAACAAACCCTCGTCTTTCGCACTGCTTGCAACGTTACTAGTAAATAGGTCGAAAAATAAAACACGCAAGATTGAGTCTTGGGGAACTCGATCTGCGGTCATACCGCCTGTAAAAAATTGCCCAAAGTTTTCAAGCAATTTGATAATTTACTCAGCAGAGTGCTATGGCCCAGACTGTCGAAAACATTGGACACCAACCTATAATTGGAAACAGTTGAACTACATTTCTTAAGTCCAGCTGAAAAAACAATGAGAAGTTCTGAAAGGTAAAGAGACCTTAACTTTTCCTTCCTATTTTCTTTGACATAACCAGCAAGAAATCGATCGAAAAATACTCCAACAAATTACTACTAAACACTTAAAAAAATCATTTAAATTCATAAGTATTCACTACACCAGGTGAAGGTTGAACATTGCTACTATAAATGGACCAGGGAAAAGAAAAATTTTTCCTCTCCCGTGGATGCCTTCAAATACAGTTTTCGTCATACAAAAAACGCCAGTGGCTTCGAAAAGGTGGCCGTCAATTGATGCACGTATTTGAAAGCGATGGTGAAACAATATGTTATGACTTGTTGGCAATTGTAAATATAAATACATCAATTTTGCATTATTTGTTGAATTGATACGTCTATTCACGACTGTTCATTTACATCATCGTTTGTTCTCTTTGTTATTAACCGGACGGGCCTCCAGCCATTAAATCACCGTAACCGCCTCGACTGCAGAAACGTGATCGAAATGAAATCAATTTCAGTGATCTATACCGAAGAGTGAATGATAATCGAATCAAATGACATCATTTACTTAAATAGAAAAAAGAGGCTTGACTTAGGAGTGATTTTAATTCCATTTTTCCCACGTAGAGGCAACGGATTCTTTTCTAGTATTGCGGAACAAAATCTTATGGCCGGTTTTTCGATCTCAGTTAAATTTCAGATTTCCTGCTGCTTGAATTAAAAATCGTTTCATTAAAAGTTAACTGTAATCGTTGATTATTGATAATTGCCGATTAAGTCACCGCTACAAAAAAGCAGAAATTGACTGCAATTCTTAACCTTAATATGTACAGACCGTGAAGATCAGTTTGACGATTTTTTTTTTTGTATATAACAAAAGCAGTTTTTGACGACATTGGCGCAAATATGCGAGAAAGAATGAAAATGAAAGGCGGGTTTCATTTTACAAGACTAGAAAAAACTAACCTATCACTGATAGCGACTGGTAACCCTTTTTAGTATTTTGGAATATATTGTTTGTATACTTTGCAAATCATTTCGTGAAAAACTGTTATATCGATATTTAAAAAATAGATATTGAACATCCAGAATGAATTTCTAGCAACGCTTCGTTTTTGAAATAGAGGGTGTTAAAATTTTAAAGTTTTTGTCATATCTATTTCGCTCTAAATATTAATTTCAATTTAATACACATCTTGCACGAATTAGAACATTCTATATAAAGATTTTTTTAAATTAAATTTTAATATTTTGAGTGAATTTGATCTTCTGAAACAATTTTCATGCATAGTCAAATTGCTAAAACTTCAATTAAGCTCATTTCCGTGGCAAAATTCAAATTAACGAAAATTGGTTGGGTGAATTTTATTTCATTAATTAACATAATTGAAAGAAAATAATGAAAAATTTTATTTTTCCACGTGAAAATTGAATGAATGGGAATTGCAGAAATGATTTTTCATTGCAGAAAACTTTCGTCTTAAATCAGTTCGCAGTTATACCACAAAATGCTTGTTGGTGATACTCGAAAGATATCAATGAAATGTAGGATAAAAATATTTTTCTTTCTTAAAACTTTAGATACTATACTGCAATTGGAAACAACCTGTATATTGCGAGAAACTTATTATTATCAATAGCAAACTGTCATTCATAAAAATTGCATCGTCTCAGCTTTCAACTGGGTCTTCAGATGCTGCTTCTTGCAAGAAACAATTTTTGCTCTATAGCAACATAAACAACGTATGTGCTACGATCGTGCAAATAATGTTCGCACAATTTCATCTATTTGTTTTGATCTGACAATGACAAGTGAAAAAAATAATTTCACATCTCATTTAATTATTTCGAGTAGTTTTCATAATTTTTTTGTAAGGTTATTTAATGTTTAGTTGTTATTGGTGTAACAGGTGCTTGTTGCAAATTTCATATTTTTAACCCAACTCGTTCAACATATTTAAACTAACTTTATTAGTGAGAGCTGCCAATACATAATGCATACTAATTATTAGTTGTCATGTGTGCATCAGAATGCAATAATAATAAAAGTTCTGGATTTGAGAATACTTACAGGGTTTGCAAAAGAAGTATGTAATTGTTTAGCGCCTAATTTCGAACACCCTGTATACACAAAAACAATAAAAAAAATGTGGGCTTAAGCCACTTTTTTAACATTTTGTCAAATATGAGGATCATATTTTCAAAAACTAAAAAATATGCATTTTCAAAATTAAGCTGCAGTTATGCAAGTTATGTTTAAAATTTCAGCCCGAACCTCCAAATATAATAATATACGAGGTGTTCCATTTGTAATAATCATATTAATATTATTATTTTATAAAAGAAGTACACTTACCTTAACCCCAAACGCTAAAGGGCGTTTCTAAATTATATATTAATAAACGTTTAATGAACGGGTTGGCTAAAAACCCTGTATAATTACAAAAGCGACCATTAAATCTCGAGGACCAATGGGTTACAAACCAAGAACGAATTAGATAATTAGAACCAATAACCATATTAGTTGAAACAAAACACTGTTCAAACAACTCGTAAAATCTTATGTTTAAATGCTATTAAAAAGCCAATCGAGTCAAGTTTGCGGCATTTAATTTCGACCTATAAAAGGAAGTTGAACTGAACTTGAAACATATGGTCATGTCGAATAAACTTATTCATATCGACATCCTTTTGGCAATGTGAACCTGCACGTGAATAATTTTTGAAACCAACATATTGTAACACAGAAATACATTGTAGTGTCCGTGTGTACACCTCCGTCTATTTTTTGTTAATGGCGGTGGTCCGGAGATAAGGTAATCGCAGTTTTCAAATCAATACTCTACAATGGCCAGTTAAATATTATTGGGATTTGATAAAAAATGCCGAGAATGCGATTTTTTAAATTCTTGGTCATTCTAAAATAAATTACACAAAGGTATTCTTTGAGGACAATAATATACGGTAGCCGCTATAAGCTCAGCGGCTAAATTATTTAAAAATTTTGAATCCTGCTTTATGAATGGCGGACATAAAACCCATCTCTCAGAAACGTTGTTAATAGAGAAATCACGCAATTCTGAAATGAAAATCTATAAATGCTACAGGGGCGGTGAATCCATGCGACTGCCCATTTCATGGTCTATAATAACATCCGAACGGCCCTCGTACAAATAAATACTTGCCCAACGACAATTCAGGTTAAACAAATTGTTAACCTAAACAGAACACTCGAAATTTCAAGAACGACGATAGTGAACGTGCATTATTTTGGTTTTGAGCAATGCTTATCCTCGATTTGTATCAATTTTCACAATATATTTAAAGATAAGTACAAATAGACTGAATACTCACAGCGACGCACTCGCATCTCATACAATATAGAACGCCAATCGGGACACCCAGGTCTGGTATCCACGTGGAACCTAGTTCGCGTACTTGTTTCCCGAACACGCATTCTGAAAGTAAAAAAAAATGATTTCGCAAAAGGCAAAGTACAAATCTTCAACTATCCAATACTATATTTCAAGCTCGAGGACCATTTTCAAAAAAGCGACGCAATAACGTTAACACAAATTTGATTGAGCCCCTTAAGGGAACTTATGCAATCAATTTAATAATAATTGTAATAATTTAGTAATAATAATAGCCGCAGTATTGAACATTGAGGAACGTCTGAGGAAGCAATGCATTCATCGGTGGTGTATAGGTAAATATGGGCGGAAAAGAATAAATAGAAATATATGAGAAAAAAATACAACAGGACAATTTACAAGTTCGAATTGTAACAAAGAGTATTACGAAGAACGAAGATGTGAGGCGAAAAATAAAAAAAAAGAAGAAAGAAAAGATTATTTCATATTCATATAGGAGTACGCTACAATTTTTGGATCTTGCATATATGAAAAACATTAACAGCTCTTCCCCTCCTAGAAAGATAGAAATTCCTTTTTTTATGCACTGTCTTTGTTAATTTCAGTTTATATGGCGGATGTCTACTTTAGACAAGGCACTATGCTTCGCTTTGAAATAATTGCAATGCATTAACTACATGCTACTTTAGGCGGTAAATAATGAAAAAAAAGAGACAACAAATGCCACCTATTCCGCCACTTATTTAGCTGCCTTGCCTAAAGGTAAGCATGCTATAAACGGTTGAAGATTTCTAAAAATAAAACGTCCAATATGACGTTCACAAGACAAATAAAGTTTCAGCCTAAGAAAATTGTTGATAGCATGTTATCAATAATTAAAAATGTTTATTTATATTTTATTATCTTTTAATATATTACGTCGCAACTTTGCTTCCGCCCACTTTTTGTTTTAAAAAAAACATATAGTATATAGGGTGTTTTAAAAAACATACGTCCGGAAATGCTTAGTTTCTAAGTCACGGGTTATTTACAATTTATTAAATATTTTTTGCCCAATTATTTAAACTATGTTGATTTGATTAAAATTGCAAAAAGAGTATCCTCAAAGTACGCTACCATTTTGCAGTTTTGTTACTAAATTTACAACTTTTTTGGCCCTGGCTTAGCTTTAATTTGTAAAATTAAGCATCAAATCACCATCCGCTTAATTTCATGCCAGTTGAGAGTTGGCGCAAGTTTTTTCAAACACCCTATATAATTTTTTGTGCATAAAACGTCACGTTTTAAGTAAAATATTACACTAAGGAAAGCAATAACGAAAAATAAATAAATAATTTAGATACCAGAAAAAAATGGGATAAGTTCAACGATGGACTCATTAAATCTGCGATTGACGTATTTCATTTGTTTTTTTTTCCAAAATTTTGAAATTTCCCGCATTTTTTTTGTCACTACTCAATGTTTAAAAGTTAAATAATAACCACGCGGGAACTGCGGCGCGGAGATGAGTAAGAAGAGTTGGAAACGCGAGCGGTTCTGCCGCCATGGTGCGCGGATACGTCTAGAGGTGTGTTGTCGTGTCTGTGGCATTGAAACCGCGCCAAACTCGATATAACGTGACTAATATATCCTGGGGGCCCATCTGGATAATTTAAATCGAAACAAACTCGCAGCCGTTGGCATTTCTTACCGCGTCGTCTAGCGTAGAGCGACAACGACGAAATCTAGCTATAAAAATATACGGATCATCGCGACGAATTTGTCTATGGCGAAATTTCGATATTTTTTTGTTCATTATTATTACACGCATGGCATATGCCCAAAACATCACAATTTTGTAGAATATATTGATATTCATTAGGTAGTACCCCATTAATATTAGATCCTGCAACCAGTTTGATTAATGCCATATTAATCACTAGGTTGATTGAGCGAGTGCTTAATATTCCAGTCAACGTGTTGCGTACTATATTTTTTCCACAACCATGCGTTTTTTGGGTAAATTTTTGCAAAAAAGCAATGTCACAATACCATGACTAATATCAATCGAAAACATCCGATCGTTCTGAAACATGTTACCAAGTAAATAAGCTAAGTAATAGCTAGTCACTTTGAGTAACGGAGCTGACGTCTTGCACAAGAGGCTATTTTAGAGTAGGGAGCACAAAATGCAATTGTGGTATTTTCTTTAAATTTCTCAGTAAATTATTACATCTACCACTAACTAATCGATATCAGGCAAAACTTAGCCATTTGAGGAAAATAATAAAACACCATTTATTACAATTAAGTTTAAAGTTCCTTGGTATTTCTACCAATGCAAAAAAATCAAATTTTGTCGTTGTACCATTGATTTGCTGTTCACACGTTTCATCTTTTTGTTTTACTTAACAATGTCAAGATTAAGTCAATCAAAACTGGTTAGTGCATTAAAAAACCGACTTTGGTTCAATTTTTTACTTAGGAGTTTTGGTTAGTTATGGTTATTCAATTTAACCTCCCGCTAACCAAGAACTTGATTTGGAGGAAATGTTAAGCTAAAAATTTTATACCCACACACACACACGCACACACACACACACACACACACACACACACACACACACACACACACACACAATACACACAATGAACTCAACAATGGCAACAAGGATTAAAATTTATTATACATAAATATCAAGAAGTTCAAGAAAGAATCAAACATTAAAAAATAATTTTTGAAATAATAGTAGATTCCAATATAAAATACGTAAATTAGTCCAGAATTTTGGAATTAATAAACCTTCTTACAAATCTTGATTGTCTGATGTGTCGAAAATATATTATATTAAACGCAATATATTTATTTTGACAAAGTTCGATATGTTTCTGGTTTTCTCTACCTCAGAACTTAGATTTGATGATTTGAGGCCTTTTGTAATTGTTGACAAACGCTTATGCCGCATGGGGCAGCACAAATAGTTTATCAAGTGATTTATCCCAGTTTCCTTTTCGTTTTTAAATATGACACCCTCTACATTATTATGGTGAGATGTAGATTAATTACGTATTCATCTTTTTCCTGTAAATATTTTCAACAATTTTCTTGTTCTGCATTTTTTATCTTAATGTGACATTTGGTAGACACTATGAAGGGATAATTTTATTTTAAGAAACATCTTAAACATAACAAATGGCTAAATTTCACTTTAATTAGCACAATACAGAATATTTGAATTTAAAACTACTACGGCTACCAATCGAATGATATGGATAACCAGTTCCTTAACTCGTGTGACATAAGTAAAACCAAAAGCATGTCAAAAATGTTCAAATCAATCAAGAATTTTGGAGTTTCATTGACTTTTTGATAGAAATCTTGGACACCCTGTAGTCGATAAATCAATTGTCAATACTAATTTCGTTTGAGTTTACTATAGAGTCGATTACAATCAATCAAAAATAAGTCGTAAGTCGTACGAACGAAACTATTGGAATTAAGGATAGGGAAACCTTAAGAAACCTAATGTTTTTGCGGAAATAAGTTATTATTTCGTTAGTAAGCTACCCTGTACACTATAGTTTTCAAACACAGTGTTTCCGTGAATTGATTTCTTACGCAAGCGTATTTCCAAAAAATAATTCGTTTATTGAGTCTAATACAGTTTGATAGTTGCATAATTAGGTCGCACTTTGCTTTGGAAAATTTATGACCTTCGGCAAAGAGAAAAGAAGCCGTCAAAACGATTAAAACAAATCAAAATAAATAAGAACTAAAAGTTCAGATTTTCACGAAATTATATATTATGACATGACAATTGTTTCGACAACACCGTGTCTTTATCAAATCTGTTGTCGAAACAATTGTCACGTCATAATATATAATTTCGTGAAAATCTGAACATTTAGTTCTTATTTACTTTGATAAATGGATTTTCATCAAGTAAAAGCCACCTCAGTTCAATTATTAAACCAAATAACAAACCATTACAATTTACTAACGTTTAAAATGTAAAATTAGGCAGTAAGTCTTAAAAATTGGCCATCGCGAATTCCGGCGCATCGACTTTACCTGGCCCGATATCTATTTCGAAAAGATAATATAACTCGTTGTGGACATCGTGTTCGTGATTCTAACCATTTCCCCCGTATTTGTCGTTCGCCTGTAACACCTGTTATAAACCATGGGTGTTAACCTTTTACGATGTTTTCGTAGTATTAGCTATTAAGATAAATCCAGCGAAATAAAATTATGAGTTACGAGAGGCATTTCCGGTTTACGTCTCTCTTCGCCGCGGTAATGTATTTGTTTTAAAAATTGTTTGCGAGCTAGCCTTTCATTTGCGATTTGACATAAGTTATGGGCGACACGCCACAAAGTAGATAAATATTCAATAAGAACACTAATAGGTCCTGTTCCGACAAATGAAATTAATTAAAGTAAAAGTAATAATTCCGTTAAGGAATTAATAACATTGCATAAGTTAATCAAGTGTTTATACCCGGTGTCCGCAAATGGAAATATCGCGACCCATTATTACGGGCTAGTATTGGGGCTGGTCAATTGACCACTACTAGTAAAATTCGATCAAAATAAAATAAATAAATAACCTCTGGCAATTGTAGAGTGTTATCTATCATCATTATTTAATAATAATATGTTGTTTATAATAAATTATTATGCGTTCGTGATATGATTTTATGTACGTTTGAAAATATTTTGATATTCATTTGTTTATAAATTATTTGTTTAATAAGTTTGAAACATCAACGATATTTCTTTTCCTATATTTAATGTATCGCGTATTTGTTTTAAAGCGAATTATATTTAAATTTAAAACAAATTATTACTTGCTTATTACAAAAGTGTGATGTGTTCCGTTCTCTTATAATAAAAAATGGCTACATTAATCAAACTTGAACGTTTATATTTTAAGGGCGACCGGTTGTTAATTCTAAAGGATTTCTTCAACATTTTAAAAAGAAAATAGGGGACTTTTCCTAGCCAATAGAACAAAGTAGTCGACTTGTTGTGTTATTAGAGAGTTTTCATTTTCAGTGTCTCTTAGATCATTGGTGATAAGCAATGTAGTGTATGTATCACA